GGGATATATTATGTCCACACAGGGAATGTGTTCAGTACCACTGTAATAACGATGTATGGTCCCAGGTGGCTACTAGACTTATCAGGGGGATCGCCTTGTAAATTATATAAATTCTTACCACTATGCTGCACACCTGAAACTAATATAAAATAATACTGAATGGCAAGTGTAATTGGCAAGTTAAAAAAAAAAAAAAGATCTTGTTTGCCCACTTTGTCCAAATGACTCCAAACTCACTGGGTTTTCCAAGGGCAACCGCCCTGCCCTAGGCGCGCGTCGGTAAGCCAGGCTGCCGGACAGTCACCTGTCCGTCTGCACTGAAGGGAACCAGAATTTCGGCACTCCGAAGCTGCCCTTTGGGGATACTGATTTTCGGTGATTTATTAAGGAACAAGACTCAGAAGGAAACTTTGACCCTCCTCCCTTTTCTGCCCAAGAGATTTACACAGAGAAACCTGCTCCAGGGAGGACATCTTAGGCTGCTGCCTCAGCCCAATTTGATTAAGTTTGGCAAGTAAGAGGGCTTTTAGCTGGGGCCTGCTAACTGTGTCCCACTGTTTCTGAGTTGCCCAGCAAGCACTTTCTTGCCACGTATGTACCCCTCTCCTCACCTACATGTAAATCATACCCATTCTCACTTCTGAAGTCCAGTACCCTGTACCTCCCCTTCGCTCCTGGGTCCAAAATGTCCTGTTTCCCAAAACTGACTCACTGTCTTTTGAATATCAGGCCTGTGGGAATTCCCCATGCATATGTATTAAAAACTTTTCTCCTGTTGAAAAACAAACAAATAAGTGCTTTAAAATTAATTATAATAATGTAAAAACCAAGGTCATTGACATCCTTGTAACTTCTAATTCTAAAATTATCTGAAATATACCACTCTGAGTGAAACTTTAAATTTCCTAGCCCATTCTTGGACTTATAACATGTATAGTATTTCTGCCTTCGTGAAAATAATTGCTCCCTAGAACAATACAGTGCTCAAAATAAGCCAGGGCAGCTTTTAAGGAAACTTCAGCTTTAAAAAGAAGCCCTAAAAAGCCTACTATGGATTTTACTGTGCGGTAAGACAGCTGGAATGGAATTTGTGGACACAACAGGGGAGAAATCCTGTGCTGTGTTCTGACAGCCTTGCTCAGCACCTGGGGTGCTCACCACCTGGGCAGACAGAGTTGAAGCTAGTGAGCGACAAACAACGCACTGTACTAAAAAAACTTCAGCGCTGTCTCAGAAGTCAAGAATCGAGTAACTTTAACATGTATTCTGCACATGTAATAAATTAATTAAATATGTGTGAAACTATTAGATGAGTAAACTTCCTTAAATTAAATATGCTTTAATTCTAGTATAACATGGAGATTCAGTCTCCTCTCAATTCTGCATAAACTGATTCTCTGCTTCAAATTCTAATTAAATGTTTAAAGACTAGTCCTCCCCAGCTCTGTAAAACTTTGGGATATAGACTCAAATGTTTACTTTTTTAACCTTTCCAAAACAACTATTATATTTTAAGGTACTTGATATTCAGATGTGTTTTTACAGTATGATTCTCTAAGAATAAAACTGATTTTATACTCTTAATATTTTATATGCTTCCCACACATTTTATTATAAATAATGTATAATAATCAGTTATATAACAGGCCAAAGAAACTGTTATATAAACTGTTAATGCATGCTTAATTGCAGACATCAATCCGAGGTTTTTGTTAAAATTATTAACTATTTTATAGAACATGTACCTACAAATTAAAGTCAAAGTAAAACTCTTAGGATGGTAGTTATGTATCTGTGTGACTAAATAATTTTAAATACATAAAATTGCACATTTTAAATAGAAATAAATTTAAATATATATGTTGAACGTATATATAAACTTTACTTGGGGCCACTATATGTGCATACTTCAAATGTGAGATATTTATTTACATGTATAAATCAAAGGTTTAAAAAAACAGCTAAAAATGTACTATATATGGTATATACTCAAAAGTAATCAAATCAGTCCTACATTTAATGTTTGTGGGTTTTTTTTGGTTAAATAAAGTATTATGTAGCCATTTCCTTATTAGTAGTGGCTAGCCAAGAAAGTTATAATCCTCAAATTAATGAGTTCCTTATAGTTTTTAGTCAAGTGCTCATTCATGAATTTGCATGAAATCTCTGAGGAGGTACAGTTATGTCTGTCTCCCCCCGCTCTTTACATATCTGTGCTGCTGACATGAGCATTACAGCAAAACAAGTCTTTGTTTTAAATTAGAAAGAAAAAAAGGCTAAGGATTTGCTAGGTCACCATTAAATATCCCAAACAGTCAGCCTGACAAAATTTGTATTTCTTGTCTTTTGTCAAAACACCACTGGAAAGTGTTGCTGCGTGCGGAAAGAAAAGATAATGGCTACTTAAGCTTTTGTACCACCTCCTATACTAATATACCTAGTGAAGAGTTAATTATTAAATTGCCAAATTTCATCTAATTGAAGCCATATACAACTCCAGAATCCTGAGTAAAGTTAGAAGAAGAATTTAAAATATTCTCAGTACTTGCCCGTCTTAAACTCAAAGAGTCAAATGCCGGGCTTCAGGAAAAAAAAATTTAGTAAATCATCCCTTCCCCCTGTCACACAAAACAGATTTAGGCAAGAAGAATTTATGCTAACACTGGAGGGTGAAGTCTAATGATGAAAAGACCAATTAGATTATATGAAACATCCCCATGAACTGTTTGTTAATTACAAAAGTAAAATCAATAAATTTACAGTTAAGAAATCTGTTCAATCACCTAAACAAAGGGATTAAAGCAGTACCACCAATAAAGTCTGCCTTTAATGCGATCCATTGAGAAACACACAATGTCGCCTCTGGGACCTTCCTGCCAAAACTGTAATCTGAACCTGATCATGAGGAAACAGACAAATCAAAGTGAGTACCGTGTTTTTAGGACCATAAGATGCACCTAGGTTTTAGAGGAGGAAAGTAGGAAAAAAAATTTTTGGAAGCAAAAACTGTGACAGAATATTTAATAACCTGTGACCCTGCTCCACCCCCCAACCACAGCGAGCCAGGCAAGCTGCATTCGGACTGTAAGACGCACCCCCCTTTCCCCCCAACTTTGGAAAACAGTGTGCCTTATAGTCCAAAAAATACAGTAGCATTCTACAAAATCCTAGGCACCTCAAAAAAAGTTAACGTAATGTAATGTTGTGAGGACAAAAAAAGAAATTAAGCTCCAAGATGAAAGGTAACATGCATAAAAGCTAAATGCAAAGTGTGACCCTAGACCAGTAAAAAATCTGTAATAAAGGACATTGTTGGTATTAGTGGTGCAATTGGCACAATTTGCAAAAATGTATACATGGTAGTTTGCCATTAATGTTACCAATTTCTTGATTTTAATTGTATCAAGTTTTTGTAAGAGGATATCCTTATTGCTGAAAAAACACACAAGTATTTAGAGTAAAGGGGCATGAGCCCGCAATCTGCTCAAGTGTACAGATCAGGAAAAAGAGTGTGTGTGTATGTGTAGAGACAGAGAATAATAAAACAAATTTGGCAAACTGTTAACAATTAGTGAACCTGGGCGAATCCTTTACGGCAATCCTGTTTGTATTATCCTTGCAACTCTCCTGTTAGTTTGAAATTATCACAAAATGCAAAGTTAAATCCTGGTCTGAGAAGAGATGTTAGAGTCAGCTAGCAGTACCCCAGCCAAAGGACTCCTTTCCGCGTCTGTAAGGAGCGGTCAGCCAGTCCCTGCTAACACACCTGTGCCGGTAAAGAAAGAAGAGTCTGTGAATGTTTATATATCACTCTACTCAAAAAGGATTTTGAAGGTGGATTGTAGTAAAAGTATTAGACACATTTAAAAAAATCAGAGCAAAAAATCCCCCATACCCTACAAAAAAAACCCCTAGATTCATTACAAAGAAAAACTGATTTAAAAACGGAGAGCACCGGACCAAGGCGGAGGCTTGTCAAATGCGTATGGAATGCCCGTTGCGGCTGGTCCTGTTCCCTCAGCAGTCCTACCCGGCAATGATCAGACCTGTACACCTACTCTGCTCTGCTCCCTCCTAATGCACTGCAGCCCTGGCCATGCTGCTCCTTCTTCATTACCAGTTGTGAAACCATCCACATTCAAATCCGGCCTTGAAAAGAGACGGCAGAGTCCCAAAGTGTCAGACGCACAGTGGCCAGCTCCCTCAGGCAGTACTCACGCATGCAGCTCGTACTGCTGAGCTACCTCCAGAGTAACCACTTACTTTTACAATAAGCACTCTTTTCCAATTTTCAGTTATTTCCAGTACGTAGCAAGTGATGTGACCATTGACAGTAGTGATAAAATGTTCCTCTTTAGAACATACTTCAGTAAACAGAAAAAGAGGCAATAGTGCATCAAGAAAAAAGCAGGGACCTGGGGCCCGCCGAAGTGAAGGCTGGTGTAAACTGCTGAGGCTTGCGGAGGGCCACTGATGCTGTGGTTTACACAGCTTGGGGAGTCAGCTACACGATTATAAAGTACCTGACAATTCTTGCAGCGAATGCTAACTGGCTGAAATCGGTATTTCTCTTGCACCAGTCCAGACACTGAAGACATCAAGACATTATTTTAGAAAGTACTCTCATACTTTTTTGAGATTATAGTAAAAATTCAAAGATAATCTTCTAAACATATATGTAGTAACTTATCATTTTAACATTGCTTAGAAAAAGATATTTGTGTCTGAATACACATATTTTAGTCGACTGAGATGTCTGGAAAAACTTGAAGACAAAAAAATGACACAACCTACTGACCCCCAAATAGTTAGGTGGAGCTTCCTAAGAAAACCGATATACTGACCACACCACCTATACAATCCCACTCTAGTAAAAATCTGGGAAAACTGCTAGGGTAGATTTAGGCAATTTTATTTTTAACAATATTATGAGACATGGAAAGGCAAAGCGACTTTAAGGAAAACGCCCACACGTCTGACTCCGAAGCACCAGGCCTTACCAAAGGCTGCTGGGGCTGCATTGCTTGCAGACCGAGGGTCTGGCTCTGGGGCTGCGAGGACGGTGGGGGCTGAGGGGGCTGCTGCATCTAGGAAGAAAGAAAAAGGGTTAGATACTTAAACAGAGGGGATTAATATTCCAATCTCCTCTTCCCATATGCTATTTAATTGTGTTGTTGCAACAAAAATAATATACAAGGGCCTCCTCCCTTGCTGCCTGGCCAAACACTGTTCCTCTTTCAAGGGAAGACCCAAATCTGCTGGTCGATGGAACCTCTGGGGCCACCCCCACCCCCAGACCCTCTTCCTTTGGCAGCTGCAGCGCTGCCTGCCCACCCTGCACTGTCCCAGGACAGCCCCTGCGCTTGCTGTGGACCCCTTCCACGTCACCTGCCTCACCCCTATTCCGTCCTGCCATGTAGCACCAGGTTAGACAAGGACGGCTCAGTAGTTGTCCATTCTTTCTCTACAATATCTGGATGGACTTTAGAAGATTAGTTTGGGTTTTTAAGAAGATGAAGATGAAAATGAAGACAGAGAAGGAGAATGAGGAAACAGAAGTTCTTGAAGATTATATTTTTTTAAAAAGGAAGTCAAAGATGTGGGAAGTTCTGGCATAAATTATGAGAATCAAATCATAACTTGTGTCTGTGACAAAGTTGGCTCAAATACACTAACTCTTGGAAAACACTTCCAAGCCGGAGAAGAAGCACAGAGAATGCAGAGGAAAATATGAATACGTGGTTTGTCTCAATGACCTTTCAAGTTCCCTCCACAAAAAACACTTCATCTTGATGTTGACAGATAGCACCGGACTTCTTTTCCTCTTTTGCATTTTCCAACTTGGTTTGTATACTATCTTTCAACTTATTTGTCTTCTTTGGGGCAAGGTAATAAGTGACTATTACCAGATGGCATTTCCCACTAAGCAACAGAGCTCACAGATGTGGAAGCCAGCAGAGGCCTGGACGGTCTCTCCCAGTGTGTGCAGTGCTGCCTGGGCTAGAAACAGTGATGGCAATACAGAGCCAACTTTCCATTCTGCTCTAACTTCTCCAAGGAAAAATCAACCCAACTTCATAATTATTAATTGATTACAAATCACCAGAAAAAAAGTGTGATTCTGATTCAAAAGCAAATCACATCTTTTATCTCTAGGAAATATGTTTTTTTAAAAAATATATTTATTGATTTGAGAAAGGGAGGGGAACAGAGACAGATAGAGAAGGAGAGAGAGACTGGTTTGTTATTCTACTTATCCGTGCGTTCATGGGTTGCTTCTTGTATGTGTCCTGACTGGGGATCATACCTACAGTTGTGGCATATTGGGGTGATGCTCTAAGCAAATGAACAACCCAATGAGGACCAGGAATGCGTCGTTGAGAAAAATTACTAGAAAGGCATATTATGCTGAATGGGGTAAAAAATGCATATTAATCAATATGGAAGGTTTTCAAAATTTGCAGCCTTAAAAAAATACCAATGTAAGACAGAAAGCTGTACATAAAGAAATAATGTAATAACTTCCCTCAGTGATTTGAAACTGCAAAATTTCAAAGTAGAAGAAAATGTAAATATTAGTTCTGGGTTAAGCCATGCAAGTTCCTTCCCTTTCCATGCAGGTTATTCCTCACTGACCTCACACCAAGAGAACAGCCCTTGGTAGGTCCTCTTTTTTTCTTTCTTTCTTAGTAAAACATAAAATGACCGTGCATCTCCAGTTGGACTGTTGGTAAGATTAGGGTACACTGTAGAGCAGGGGTGACAAACTCATTTTCACTGGGGGCCACATCAGCCTTACGGTTGCCTTCAAAGGGCCCAATGTAATTTAGGACTGTGTAAATGTAACTACTCCTTAACAGCTAAGCAAGAGCTCAGTGCTGCTGAGAAACAAGGTGCCTGGCCAGATAAAACAGGGTGGAGGGCTGGATGCGGCCACGGGTCTTATGTTTGCCACCTCTGCTCTAGAGACTCATCAGGCAATCTCCAATCCAGTAACACAGGACAAATGTATGCATAATGAAGACAAATGGACCCTGAATAGTAAACACAATAGCCTTTATTTCTTAATAGCAAGAATGTGTCATGGGGAAGAACAGTTTATCTAGGAGACTCCACATTTATTTCAAATAATGAAAGAACAGCCTTCTGGATTCTAACAGAGTCAAGGTGAAACATCCCTGTGATAATTCCACTTACATAACACTCACTTCATGGCCTAATCAGACCAGAGGCACTACAGAAATTTTTTGGATTAAAAAATTAATACAAAAAATTAACTAATCCAAAAATCCAGGCCCCTCTAGAAGCCTGGAAAGCTTTTTTTTTTCTTTAAATATAAGAAATTTTGTATTCAAATTGCCTGGCCTCTCTTTAAATAATGACTGACTAAGTGTGCTTTACACTACCAAAAGAAAGGCATCCAGCTACCTTGAACCTTGGTGAAAGGGAAAAGCTGCTTTGTAAAATGTACCCCTGGCCCATGACCAGGTAGGTGCACAGAGAAAGGAAGACCCTGGCCGAGTTGAAACTAAATAACACCAGTTTAGGTCCCACTGACACACACACAGGATTCCTGGGAACTTGGCAATTAAAGTCTGAAGTGCCTGCTCCTTCTCATGACTGCCGAGGACCCAGCATGGACTGACCTCACCTACCAACCCCATACCTGGAGAAGCCTCTGCTGCTGTCGCACCTGCGGCTGCCTGGGCCTCATGGGGTCCTGAGGCAGTGGCACTGACGGAAGGTTTGGATGTGTGGGAGTCAGCACCGCATCGATTCCTCCGCCCATCAGAGGGCTCTGCTGAAGGGACTGATGATTCAGCCTGGCAAGAATAACACAGCTTGTTTCAGACCCACGCATGCAGTCACATTTTAATTAGCGCCACCAGAAAGCATATCACACACGTTCACAGAGCAAGAACCGGCTCAATAATTACTTGTATAATTCAAATGCCACGGAGGCCAGTGGTTAATCTAGATCCCCAGGGATAGACAGGATCACTTGAAATAGAAAAAGCGTGCTTACTACTTAAGGTAGAAATGCCATCACGTATAAATTACTCTTTAAAAATGAATAGCTTTCAATAATAAGTGACATTAATTCTAGAGTATTTATTCTAGAGTAGGCATTGTGGTCAAAGAGTGAAAGTGTTATTTCACTGACTCCCCACAGTAGCCTTTTGGGGTCAGTAGTTTTGTTATCCCCACTTTAAAATTGAGAAAACAGTGAGCTGGAGAATTACCCAAGAAATTCAGAGAGCAAAAGGCACAGGCAGAATTTAAATATAGAACTTTAGGGCTTTCAAGTTTAAATTCTTAGGCAATATGCAATGCTGCCATTTATTAGAAAAATAATAAGTGTAATGTGTATTATCCAATTTTATTTATTTTCCCAAGTGTGCTACCATCAACGCTGCCAACTTTCCAAACAGTGATTACTCAGAACTGACGTGCAGGCACTGATGATCCGTGGAGCTAAGCTGCTACCCTCATCACACAAAATTTTGCATGGAACTTAATTCTTCTAGATCACTGCCATCCCATATAACTTTCTATGATGACTGACATGTTCTATAGCTGTGCTGTCTACCAGCCACTGGCTATCAGGACTAGCTACATAATTTTTGGACTCAGTGTGAAATAAAACTGCAAGGCTTCCAGATTGAAAATTAGAGTTTCAAGACGATGACAGAAGAGTATTAAACCAAGCCCGGGTCCATAAAACTGCAAGGCTTCCAGATTGAAAATTAGAGTTTCAAGACGATGACAGAAGAGTATTAAACCAAGCCCGGGTCCTTCTACACATGGTGACCTGTGTGACTGCACTGGCCCCCCACCTTCGATGCTGGCCCTGCTGGCTCCGCTTGTGGCTCCTGACCACTTGGAATGTGACTCGTGTCACTGAGGACCACAGTTGTTAATGCAACTTGGATTTGTGTAAACTGAAATGGCCACATGTGGCTGATGGCTACTATAAGGTACAGTGAAGTTGTCACTATGTCTAAGGGATCTGATTAAAGCAAGAACTAAATAACAGTCTTTCACAATCCTGCTCTGCCAACCATCCCTGGAATGGAAAAAGTAAAAATTAAGATTTTACAAAAGTCTTATAGGCACTGTATGCACTGAGTGTTATAATCACAGAATTTATGGCTCTGATCAACATGTTCTAGGGCGGCACTTCAAACGATAATCAATGTCATTGTTGTTTTATTAAACTTAGGTATACTTAGCCAAGAAAAAAAAAAAAACCTTTTTAAAAGAGGGGAAAAGAAAGAACACGAGAGCTAATACAATGGTATCATCCATTACACCCATACTACGGAAGATGTGAATCAAAACATAGGGGCCTTGAATGAAATAAACAAGATGGGTCATTGTTTGTTTTGAATTTGAGTGCTTGTAAAAATAAGATGACATAATGCAAATACGCAAGTTCATAAAAACAACATAAAGTACCATGCCCTTGAAGAAGCATAACAAAGAACCGTGCCCACTACTGCCACCACTGTGTCACCTCTGAGAGCCAGTCAAAGGCTGCAGGTACGGTGATGCCTGCTGCTGGACATAGCCACTCGGCGGCTGCTGCATCTGTCTGAGTCTCTCCATCAGCGCTGGGTTGGAGTGGGCAGCCGGATAGGTTCTGGAGTTATAGCTGGGAGACAGGACCATGCTGCCGGCCTGCTGCTGCGGGCTCTGCTGCAAAGGCATCTGTGTTCCGTACATTGTGTAGCCCTGGGGCATGGTCTGCAGGCACAAGGAACAAAGTCAGTGTCTTAATTTACCACCTGCTTTCTGATATACGCAGATAAACAAACCCAGGAGGAGTCCCCTCAAATCCACTATTCTCAAATGTTCTTATGACTCAAAATATGAAGAGGACCGTCATGGAGGCAGACAGGCTAACCAGAAAGCTAAAGAATGAACTAGTTATATAATGATTTATCAGAAAATGCAACTTAAGAAAAAGAACCCTCATTCGGTTAATAGATTAGTGTTAAGATCAGTTGCTCATTTTGAAGGAAGAGTGTGTTTCCTTGTAGGCGATCATCTGTAGCTTTCATGCAGAGACGGCGTCAGTGTTCAATGAACTCCAAGCATCATTAATGTCATTTCTAAAATCACCCAGGAAAACTACCCCCGCTCATGTAAACAAAGATAATGGCGTACCCTTTCCTGGTATGTGACTATACCTCCTTGAATCTGATCACTGTGTCTTTGGCAACTAACCAGTTATTAAAAACAAACACACAATTAGTGCCTTTACCAGAATAAGGATGGATCTGAAGACTATTCAACACCCTCTAGTCCTGGTTGGGCTGTAGCCCCTTTCAGCACTGTACCCATCACCTGAACACTTAACTTTTCTATGTGGTATTAACACAGCATGACTGTTTCTCTAAATCTTGACAACCAATGCAAATGAAAAACCTGAGGTTCTGCTGGGTCACTACCTACACTTTATAGAATAGAATGCTGACTGCTGTTCGAATCCTGAAAGCAGCACATTTTCAGGCAGTGGCTCTGACTTGGAAGACAGAGTAACGTACAGTGATCGTGCAGGAAGGCTGCACGAACCGGAGCTGCAGGAGCCGGGCTGTAGGGCTCAGGCCTGAGAAGGCTGGCCTCGCCCTCCTTTCTGCTGTGGACACGGTATGAATTGTTAGTCATGACTTGCAGTCTTGCCAATATCCCTGCCTCCTGATTATGCAGAAAAAACCAAAATTATTAGGAAAAAAATAGCTCTGGGTTTACATTATACGAAGATAAGACCACCATTTGCCGAGCACCCACTGCTTATCTGCTGCAGCACAGCGTGGTTCTATGGGATCGTCTTCAATACTCACAATGTCCCCTGTTTTACAGAGGCAGGAACCAAGACTCACGGCAACTTGTACAATGTTACATAGCTAGTAAGTTGCCAAGGTCTAAGTCCAAGGCCAATTATTTTCTTATTGTGCCATATTCCTCTTTGAAGCTATCTTTGAATATGACAAATTCAATCATGAATTAATCATTATATATAATAACATAGTACTTAGGGACTGCTAAGTATTTTAATACCTATGATCATCACTAATAGAGGTTTGGATTTATTTGTTTCTAATTCAAGATTTTCCTAAAATGTTGTGTGTTCTTTAATTAATCCTGAGACTCATTCGACAATCATTGGTCATGGTTTTTTTTTTTTGAAACGTCAATTAAAACCTACAAGCAGAATAACTAAGTACTAGACCCCATTAGGGAGCAGACACATTATTTACTTGGTTTCCCACTTCAAACGAAGAGATAAATGCCAGCAGCACCTGTGAAGCGAATGTGGGTACCTGTGCTTGCTGCAGCCCTGGATACTGGGGGAGCTGCGGGGAGGGCCGTGCCTGGGCAGCAAAGAGAGCAGCCTGGTCCCCTGGCTGGCCCTGGAAGACAAAGCCGAGGGAACGCTTGATCATAGCAGCAAGGACTGGATCTGAGCTCCCGGTGAACGACCCCAGTGACCCTGACACCAAATGTCACTGTGAATACAGAACTTACATGTTTCCAAACTGCATTCAATTTGATTTCTCATCAATTTGCCACATGTGCAGAGACTGCTGAACTTACTATGTCTTTCAAAGAAGACTACGGACGTCTCCAATGACAGAGTACTGACATAAATGCAAGCCGTAATAATCACTGGCTTGCTCACTGGAGAGGCTCCGAGACAGTGTTCGCGTCCACGCCAGGATGCCCCTTAGAGTAAAGATCGTAAGTCCCTAACTGTGAAATCTGAAACCACAGAGTCCACCAGCCTGCACCCATGAAGGAGAGAGCACATGTGGTACATACAAATGCCACATGCACACTTCATACATTTCAATAAAGTGTCTTTATAGTGACCTAAAATATGCCTACTTAGCCATGCATTCAATGGATGAACTTGGTATCTCCCATGATTTTAATAATCAAAATACAATCAATAAAAATTTATTAATAGCAAACACAATTCTACCCAACTATAATATAAAATAAAACCAATTAACATCTGTTCTACACCCTTAATTTAATACATTTTGGCCTCAGGAAAATAAATATATTCATAAAAGCAGTATGTAGTTTTTGTTTAATATCAGAAGCTCCTTCATGGACGTTTGCAGTAATAACCAGAGGGTGAGATCTGGCTCCTGCCCATCCTTGTTTTTTCAGGACTTACCAGTTAAAAAGAATGGGGTTTATCCTAGCACAGTTTACTATTGTTTTATATAATAGATGTCCTCATTTTTTAAAGTGCTACAATTGTAGTTACAGAAAATATTTTCATGTTCTTAGAAACTAGTATAGTTATTTCTAACAAAGAGAAAGAAAGGGATAAACATTTAGCTTAAGATTTCTTAAACTACTATCATATGCCAGGGACTGGGCTGCTCCTCCTTATTCCCATTTTCTGACAGGAACGCTGTAGGGAGGGAGCATCACCCCCATGTTGTTCAGCCAGGAAAAGCCAGGCTCAAAGAGCCCGAGCAGCTCTCTGCGAGTCCACACAACTGCACCTGGCTGGGTGAGCTGCTATGTGAAATCAGGTGAGTCTGCGTCCAAAGGCCAGGGCTCTGTCCATTATGACGAGATGCTTCTACATGCCATATTAAGGATGAATATATTTAAAACCCCATTTGGTGCTTATTATTTAGGGGTATATGCTCTCTTAAGCTTACCCCTATAAATAACCAAATGGAGACTCTCTAAGAAGACATTAAAATGGTTGAAATAAAATGTATACATCCGACAATAAAGCTCTTTCTCTGACTCCCCCCCCCCCCAGCCAATAATATCAACCAGGGCATTTAAGAATTTCAGCCTCTCTCAGGGTGACTACCTGTGCACACACAAAGCAAATACCAATTTCTGAGAGTATCTACCATGGTATCTGTATGTAACAGCTTTAACAAGAATCTCACTTTCCAAAACAGGGTACTATAAAGATACCCCATCTTTAGCTAGATTAATAATCTAAGTGGAATTATACTTCCATTTGCCTGTGTCAAGGAAGAACTGCCCCAAACCCCAGTACGAGAATGGGTGCCATGGCAGTGTGGCCACAGGGAGCCTACAGCTATTGCCCAAGTACCCAAATGGCATTTGGTTTTCCAAACACTGTGACAAGGAGTCATTAAATCAATCAGATCTTTAAATGCCATTCCTAAAATCAGTGCTCCCTGACAGCATCATATGAAGTCTCTGAAACATACTGCTGTGCTTCTTCATGAAGACAAATATGGGTATATTATCACTTGGATAGAAATGAAGAAAAATGAGTTTATATGTGAGTTAGAATCTTGAGATCCATACATTGTCTACAATATTCACACTGCACTTTGGCTTGAAGGGAAACAAGACCCAAGTGCGACAGAAGTATGCTGATTCATGCAGCAGATTTTTCTGACGCTTTACTCTTCTTTGCTTGTTGAAAAACATATGAAACAAACTATGACTGACATGTGGGGGGAAATGAGACTACTGACAAGTATCTAAGTTACTGGGCTGCACTCTTTTATTGATAAATAACAGTTGAGATTGTGGAGATTAAAAATATGAATTAAAAACTATCCTATATTAAAAACCACATTCAAGGAAAAAGCAATGTAACTACAAAAGGAGAAAAGGATAAAAAATTTCAAATCAGTTTTTGCACTCTAAATCCATGCATTCTCAGTCAACCATTTTTGTCTAAAGGTTAACTATCTGTGATCCCATTGTATTCCCTCCCACTACCTACTTCCGTACAGTAATAATTCTGATCTGCAACTTCCTCCCGGAGGAAATCACAAACACCCAAGTTGGCTAGCGCTACTGAAGTGCTCTCTGAGTAGCTTCATTATCGTGTGTTGCCCTGAATTACTTTGAAAACATACTCCAGACTCTTCTACCAAACTGAAAGGGCCTCATACTGTTCTCTGGCTTTTTCCAGAATGATGCCAGGAACACGGCATTTCAATTTGTAAAAATATTTCAATTTGTTGGGGGAAGAGTAACTTGGAAGATTTTACAAATACTAAGCAAGGATCATAGTGTGAGAATAAGCTTGGAAACTACAGATTAGATTTAGTAAAAGGTTGTTAATGTTGGTGTGGATGGCTGTACGGATTTAATCAAGATGGGACAAATCACGCAAACCAGGACAGGCCAGGGCAACAGGTGTCAAATGGGACCATGTCTGGCAAATTAGGATACACGATGACACCTCGGTTATACATAATTCACTTGTCTGTTATTTTTGGGAAACCTTCAAAGCTTTATTTTATTTACTCTTCAGCAAACATAAGCTAGTTTACCAAGAACTTTCTGATTGTCCCACATTTTTAGTACCATCTTTTTTTTTTGAAGAAAACTAATTTTTTACTTTAATTTTTAGCATCTATGATTCTAATGATTTCTTCCTACTACCTGCATAAATATCTGGAGCCTGGCCTGATTTCCCCCTCTTGGTTTATTCTGTTTAACTGAAACAAGCAGAGGCAACATTAACTTCATGTTTTCATGGGTGCAAAGGACAGTTTAGAAGGCTGTTTGGACCAAAACCTGTGTGTCCAGCCAGGTGCACATGACGTTGAGCACATCACGAAAGGAGAAGACATACACGTTGTGCCCTGCCCTGTGCTCTGGCAGCCCACTAGCATGAGCTGACAGAATGAGCCACAGTTAACCGGGAGATTCCGGTAATTACACAGACCCATCCCTACATGGCTACCTGAGGTAAATCCCTACACACTGTCTCTCTCGTTTGCTTTTATTTACTTTGCTTTGCGCTTGTTTCTGTGCAATATAAATCCATTACATTTTCAAAAATTTCCACTTTCTAAAAACTTCTAAAACAGGCCACGCTGCTCAATACTGATGCATTTTCCTGGCCTTTATAAACTTAGACAAAATAAGTATCTAAGCTCAAAGCGATGTTGACTCAGAGGCCTTTTTTATAATTTGAAGTTAATGTATCTATCTAGTAAGTTAAAATGTTTGATAACTCATCCTCGAACAACATTTTCACTCTTCTGAGTCCTATTTTCTTCATTAGCAATCACACCCTCAGTCAGCTGAGCAAATGTGAAGATCTCTTTATAAAAAAAGAACTAGTGATACATCTAACTAGCAGACAGTAGGTATTATAATGAGCAGCATTCCAGGATCAGGAATTTTCTATACACTCTATTCACTAGTAACGATTTTTTTCAAATCCATATTTATAACTTTTCAATAGTGTGTAAGGGTAGCAACTAAAATGAGTTTTACCTAAAAAAAAAACACAACAGATTTTTGTGACTCTTTCTGAAAGATTTAGGAATCTGATTTAGAAATAATAATCAAAGTCGCCCAATGAAAACCAGTGGGTAATGTTTTATGAATCATCTTAGCAAAAAGGGTTTTATTTGTGATATCATCTTGGCAGGTACAGAGCAGTGCTGCTCAAGGCTAAACACATGGTATGAACCAGAAATGATCTTCACATCATGCTGCTGTATTTTTATTTCAAATAAGAGAGAAAACTATAATTGTAAGAGATCCCGTTGACCAGTTACGTTTGATTCTCATAAAGCTTTCATATCAAGTATCAATGGGTTGAGAATCAGTTAACAGTAAGATTAACTGATAGAACAAATTGATTCATTGTAAAATAACCACATCTCATACAAAATAAACATTTACAATATATTCTATTACCATGTCCATAAATAATGAACATAATGATTGGTTGAATTATATACATTCATTAAATTTCTAATAATAAAGAGTACTGAAGGAAAACAAGAATGGTGAAAAGCAAAGATATACATACATACTCCTATTAATTTGAATATGAAAATTTTTTTAACTTTTGACTTTAAATATTCGACAAAATATTTTGCCTGTATTTTAAAGTAAAATCGATGATTTATACAAATTGTTTTCTATCTGAATTACATTATCATCTAAACAATAAATATAAGCTTCCTCCAAAAGTTTTAAATTTAATAATATATAATTCAAGTTTTGAAATAAATAAAAACCTCACTCCTCACCTCCTCTCTGCACAACACAAAGTGTCAAAAAATTGTTAGAAAAAATAATTTTCAGAAAAGTTTCTGAACTTTCCTTTGCAGAAATAACTCAAAGAAATTGCCTAAATAACAAGTATTTAATAATAACAAATATTTTCAAAGCTTGAATATGCAGTTAAGGATATTTTCACCAATGTACAGAAAATGTTACCCATTAAATTGGCAGTGAAACAAGTTGACTTACATTCATATCTGAGATGTGTGCTCTTTTTTATTCTAATGCTTCTTGGGTTTATGTTGTAAGTTGGCTACCTGATACAGAAACCTATAAGTAATTTAATGCAAAACATGCATTCTTAGCTAGCCCAGGCAAAGCAGTAGAGGTGAAGTCTATGACAAGCATGCACAAG